GCATTTCTATATGGCTGTGCATATGGCTGTGCAGCTTGGGAGAGGGAAATGTAATTAGTAAATAAAATTTCATGAATTTCGTATTATAATTTTTGTCAGTGTAGGCAAAAGGTAAATGCAGCAGCAGCAGCAGCAACGGCAGCAACGGCAGCAGCTGCTGCTGATGCGATGCTATTGAACTTTTGCTATTTTGCCAAGATTCCCACACACCTGCAGCAGCAGCAGCAGCAGCTTCAACAACAACAACAACAATATTTGCCTCCCACTTGCAGCAGCGTGTGAAACGTTCGACGATGTTTTTGAGGCGTGACACGAAACTTTGTTTCAAGTACGTTTAGTTGCTGCTGCTGTTGTTGCTGTTGTTGTTGCTGTTGTTGCGCCCTAATGCGATTGTCCGGGTAAATGACCGAACGAGCGAGCGACGCGGCAAAAATTGAATTGTTTTGCATAAATTGATGTTTGTTTGCCAGCGTCATTGTTGTTGTTGTTGTTTTTAATTGAAGTGCGGCAAGTTTGTTGCCTAAGTCATTCGTTTGCCCACGCGCACAGCTGCCGCAGCTAACTGACGCGCCGCAACAGCTGGCAAGCGTGCAGCTGCCCACAGCGACAACAACAACAACAGCAACAACAGCAGCAACAATTACAAGCTGTCTGCCCCACAAGACAAAACTGGCCTAACTGGGCGTGGCGTCTGATAAACTCAGCTGCAACAGCAACAACAACAAAGCGATCTACGCTTCTGCCACACAGCGTCCCCCTCGGCTGCACAGCGAAAGTTGCAACAAAACTTTTCTGACTGCTCCTATTCCTCTCTCTCTCTCTCTCTCTCTCTCTCACACTCTCTCTATATCTCCCTCTCTCCCTCACTCACACACTCTCCATGTTCTGCTTGAAAAACAAAAGTTAAAACTGGTTAGAATATGAGATTTGCCATAATTTTTAGAGCCATTTACACTGAGCGAAATTGATGTCGCAGAAAGGCTTGTAAATATATTTGGATAAACTAGATATACCATAGATAGAATTGCCGATAGGAAAGCAAGCATGGTAAATGATTTAGACATGCTTTTAGCCTACACTCAACGAAATTTTGTAGAGGAACTCGAAAGAGTGAAACTTGTAGATGAGAAGTTTTTTCTCTTTTTTTTCTATATTTTTTTTTTAGAATAAAGCCAATACAAACCGGGAACGCCCGGCTGCTGTATACTAGTACTACTGTTTACCTAGTAAACTGTGAAGAGCTCACCTATTCATTTAATTGTTGTTCGTACCCTGTCTATACGTAGCACTCTGACTGAACTTGAGCATTCCTAATGAAGTTTTTAGTTCGTAATGCTAATAATCAAGTGTAAATTTACATCAAAGCTCATCGTTACTCAATAAAATGAAAATATTTATGATCTCTAATAAGGTCAAAGACCAGTTCTAACCTTAATTTTGCACATTTATAATGAAAATTACCCAGATACCGAACTGACAGTCTCTAGCTTAGCTCCTTTTCAAGTTATGCCTAAAAAGCCAATGAGATCTATCATCGCTAATGATTAGATGAGTTATCGATAAGTATATATTAAGTGAGTACTTTATGCATTAGACTAAAGTACTTCTCAATTATCTAATCTCTAGTTATCATGAGATTTTTTAGATGGTTAGGCAGACCCACACAGTATGTCTATCCCAAGAGCATGTCTAGGGTCCTACGCAGAGTTGTCTCTTATATCAAACCCCAAAGTGAAGAGCAATCTGAGTGATTCACACTGTTCATCCTCCCACATGATTGATGGGCTTGCCCGCGCCTTCCTGTTGCACATTATATTGACATAAAAACCAATATACTCTATACTACCCACTCTAGATTAGATATTGACTCACATCAAATCAAAGAAATCTTTGAATATGCTTCCACTTATTCGCGCTTATACTAGCACATCAGTTAGTCGCATACTTTTAACATATACTGTTATATCTACTCATATAATACAGATGATGATGATGATTAATATCTCACTAATCGCATAGCTAAGCCTATACGGATTAACCCTGATCAACTTCAGCTTGTCTGCTAGTCGTATACTCCCGACCTGAACAATCATACAGTGAGTATTTTTGCATGCACTTAGAGATACCCTTGCTAGGTATGCAACAGCAATTGAAATTGTTTGTTTGTCGGCTGTTTTTCTTGTTGTTGTTGTTCTCGTTGTGGCAATTGTTGTTGTTGTTGTTGTTGTTGTTAAGTAAAAACTGGCTCGCTTGTTTGCCCGGCTGCAACAGTTGCTGCTGCTGCTGCTGCTGTTGCTTATCCTACAAATGCCAATCCGCAGCGCCAACCAGTCCCCAACGTCGTCCGTCCGCTCGTCCCTCCGTCCGGACTGTTAGAAATGCCGTCCGAGGCGGCCAACTGGCTGGGCAACTGCAATTGGGATTGGGACTGGGACTGGGACTGGGCCGCTGGGCGTTCAACTGGTTGCTGCTTTATTTCTTTATGCACACACACTCGTGCGGCAGGTGAGCCAAGCGAGTATATTGGTTTCGCTGCACTTCCCGAAGTGCTGCAGCTGGCTAGGCATATTCGAGTTTTCAGCATCGTCTTGGGCAAGTCTTCAGACTGGGTTTCGTTACATTTACTATAGGTTAGACTTAGGCTTATGCTTAGGAGTTTAATATCGATTTATATATATCAATGACATATCAAGTTTGTAAGGGCCTATACCATAGTGAGCTCTACATTCCTTAGGGTGCTATAGCTAAAGCCATCAAGTCTTACATGTGACTTCAGTTGGATCTTCTTTATAGACTTAACCTTAGGAACATAGCAGTTCGAAGGAAAAAGTATGTTTATATATGTATACTATATCTATATCTATAGCATTAATGGTATATATCCTCCACATTTATAGAAAAATCAACAGCTAGACTTCGGTTAGGCGTTCTCTATAGACTTAACCTCTTAACCTCGGGGACGTAGCAGTTCGAAGGAAAAAGTATGTTTATATATGTATACACATATCATTAATGGTATATATCCTCCACATTTATAGTAAAAAAAACAGTAGCTCGTTTGAGAGTTGTTTCCTTGCGAAGCTAGACTTCGGTTAAGCGTTCTCTATAGACTTAACCTTTTAACCTTGGGGACGTAGCAGTTCGAAGGAAAAAGTAAGTATATATATATACTCATATCATTTATGGTATATATCTTCCACATTTATAGAACAATCAACAGCTCGTTATACAGTTGTTTCCTTGCGAAGCTGCTCTATAGAACTGTCAAATCTATAGATCTCTCAGTTTGAGCGCGCATCGTGCAGTCAGGTAAGTCCATTCAGCATCTGATTTTCATTTTCGCTGCCTTTTGCCGGCAGTTTTGAATTACAAAAGGAGCCTTTTTATGGGGCCGCCTGCAACAGTAACTGCAACAGCAGCAGCAACTGCAGCAGCAGCAACATTTTTTATAATTTCAATTTTGTGTATCTATGAGATACGATGCAACGTGAATTGGCATTTTGTATTATGCATTCTATACCCTGCATAACATGTTATAAATGGGGTAGCTGTTGGTTCAGTTGGGGCCTGAAGTCAGTTCCTATGGACTATATATCTTGTATATATGTATGTAATATATATGTTCACTCTTGGCAATACCCATAGTACTCTGACTTGTGCCATGCATTCTCATTCGGCATATTTCCCAAATCGAATCGCTTTATTAAGCTCCTCCTCCTCCAATGTATCGCCTCCATTGTATCGCATTAGTTAGACAAAACTTTAATTTGTTTCTTATATGTGATGCGTATATCCAAGTCGAAACCTTGTAGCTTTCCTCTACCCTTAGCAAGCCATTTTCTTGTATGGCAAAGCATTACTAGAATTTCTTATTGGAATGGATATTGTTTTCTCGTTGCCCTAACGATATATTTTCATATAGTATAATTTGTTTACAAGGAAAGCTTCTCTCATTCGCTCTTTCCCAGCCTTAGCTCTATGGCATACCCAACTGTCAGGCCATAGAGATTCCCTTAACTCCGTTTTATATAACTTCTCAGATAAACTCCATCCATATTATAGACTTTAAGGCCCTTACAAAATCTTTCCATGCTCCTTTTGCATTAATCCAATTCAATTTTTTTTCTGCCCCCTCATTTAAATGTAATTTAATTACAGGGTATTTACTAGGTTCAGCTCTTGCACTCGGACTGTTCGCACTGTTTGTTTTATGCATTTTGCAATACTGCAAAATACCGCAATATTCTGCAGTGTGACCAGAGCATCACAGCGGTAACTCCAACGCCTGGTAATTAAAATACAATTAACAAATTGATGATGATGATCGTGATCATAATGACGCTGCCGATCGTAATGAATGTTGATGTTGATGATCATGACGAGTGGCCAGGAAATGCAATTAACCGATTGGCCCACAAGTCGCCAAACGCCATTCGAAAGTCTTTTGCCCCGCGCTTAACACTGATTGAATACATGTGTGTATGTATGTGTGTGTGTGTGTGTGTGTGTGCGCACGCTGGTGAGTGCAATTGCATAAGCTTGTCTTTAACTTAGTCAGCCCCAAGGCGTTTCATGCCAAGCGCGCCATCAATCAGCCAATAACTCAATCATAATCAATTTGCCACGCATGGAAAGTGGGCAACCTACAGGCGGTAGGCGTGGCGCAGAAGAACTTTCTAGTTGGCTTGAACCCAAAGTGGAGCAAATCATTAGACACGATGACAGTGACAAAAAAAAAAAGCAAGCAAAACAGAAAAAGCCCAAATTATTTTTGTATTTAATAAAGTTTTATAATTGAAGGCCGCACGCAACGGACGCGAGATTGGTGTCGCACCGTTAGGCGGCTTAAGACATCCGCCGCAAACGATCTGGCAACGCCATGGCTTAACAATAGCAAAACGTAAACAAACAAAGGCATCAAATTACAAGTGTTGTAAAATTAGCAAAGGGAGTTGTGTTGGTGTGTGTATGTTTGTGTTTGTGTTTGTGTTTTTCTTTACCTCATTTGTGTGTGGGTCGCTTAGCAGAAGAAGAGAAACACGCCCAACAACAACAACAACTATAGCCAAGCGCTACTGCAATTGGAGCGCAGCGAGCGACGCGCGAAATTCTCGAGTTGCAAAATGTGAACAAAACAAAAAGTAAAAGAAAATACTGTTGTTGTTGCCGTTGGTGCTGCTTTGTTTTGTTTCGTATTTGTGATTGTATTTGGTTTTTGGTTTTCGGCTTAATTCTGCTGGTTGCTGGTTGCTGGCCAGTGCACTTTACACTTTTGTGGCTTGGCTCTTCAGGCTTCACTGAGTGCGCAGACACACAGGTGCATATCGCTGCATAGCAACATATTTTGCGTTTTCGATTTCGTTTCAATTTTTATTTACAACAATAAAAAAAAAAAAAAACACTTTTTCAGCACATTTCACTCACAGAGAGGGGCACATTGAACCTTGCGTTTCAAAAAAATAAACTAAATTTTAATTTTAGCGTACGTATGTTATTTGAACAGCCGGCGCGCGTACTTTAAGGCAGGAGAACACACAACAAAATGTTGAAGGCAACAATCAGCTAAATGCGTCGTCACACAACTTGAGCGCACGAAGATCAGCGACAAATTGAATGTTCAACCCAGCTGTGTGACCATGTTGGGCCGTTTACAAAATACCACCTCGACTACTAAAAAAATACTGCACAGTCGTCAGTTTAGGCAGCTATCGACTAGTTCTATTCGTTTAGTTTGATATTATTTTGGTATTTTTGATTGGAAAATTCACAATGCCTCTAAAACTGTTATAGTAAATTAAGTTTGTAGGTAGTATTAAGTTCCAATTTTATATTTCTATGATATATATAGCGTTTTTATTGAGTAAATGTATTGATCAATTGCTGCTAGTTTAATTTGTTCGATTTTAGTTTTTTATAGATTCTTGCTCTTGACGTGTTAAACATGTGATAGTAAAATGTGATAAGCCTATTAATAAAATTATAGCCTTATAAAATAATAACAACATTTTGCACTCACATCAGTGGAACAAAAACAAAATGAATACGTTTGAATTTTGAATATCGTATATTTTCCGCGCAGTTTGTATTGTTTATGCTTATCGATAGTCTCGATATTTATTCTTCTATCAATCGAATATGTACAAGTGTGACAGACCTTGGCCAAAACAGCTGTTAGTTACCGCTGTTGTGCCACAATATTTTTTTTTTTTTTGTATTTCATAATAATTTTGATAGAGTATTTAGTTCGCTGTGCTAAATTAGCCTTAAGCTGTATTAAATAACAATGCAAACGACACGCAATTTATGCAATCTGACCCGCTACATCCTGCGGCGCACAGTTGCGACAACCGCTAATGACACAACGGGCTCCGCAAGCGGCGGCGCCGGTGGCTCAGAGCAGACAACACATTTTGGCTACCAGACGGTCAAGGAGAGCGAAAAGGAGCGCAAGGGTAGGGGTAGCAAACATATCTGTATCCATTGATGAAGTACACTTACCACCATAATCCGCATAGTACACGAGGTGTTTCAGCAGGTGGCCCAGTCGTACGATCTGATGAACGATGCCATGTCCATGGGCATCCATCGTGTGTGGAAGGACATTTTCGTGGAGCGCCTGGGACCAGAGCATGGTATGCGTCTGCTGGACATGGCCGGCGGCACGGGCGACATCAGTTTTCGCTATCTGAAATACTTGGCCAAGATGCCAAATCCCAAGCAGCGGGAAAGTCATGTAACTGTCTCCGACATCAATCAGCACATGTTGAATGTGGGCGAGGAGCGTGCCCGCCAGCTGGGCCTGACCGCTGATCGGCTGCCCAATGCCAGCATTGCTTGGCAGTGTGCCGACGCCGAGAAGCTGCCATTCAAGAGCGATACCTACACTGCCTACACGATTGCCTTTGGCATACGCAACTGCACGCACGTGGACAAGGTGAGCGGATGGAGCGCCGATGACATGATCTACGGCTAACTAACACTCACTCTGCGCTCTCTCTTGTAGGTGCTCAGCGAGGCCTATCGCGTGCTGCAGCCTGGCGGTCGATTCATGTGCCTGGAGTTCAGCCACCTGACCAATGAGACAATGCAGTGGCTCTACGACCAGTACTCTTTCCAGGTGATACCGCCCATGGGCCAACTGCTGGCTGGGCAGTGGCACGCGTATCAATACCTCGTGGAGAGCATACGGCGCTTTCCTCGCCAGGATCAGTTCAAGAGCATGATCGAGCGGGCTGGCTTCTCGCACGTCTCCTACGAGAACCTAACCTTCGGCGTCGTTAGCATCCACTCGGGCTTCAAGCTGTAGGAAACTGTTGCTGCTCGCTGCCCGCTCTCTACGTTCAGGCATGCCGAACACGTTCTCCACGCGCTTATTTTTATGGTTTCCTTAAATAATAATAATAAAAACAAAATGTATAAACCTTGTTAACATATAATATGTACGAATTTATTGTAAGCTCGTCCAGCTTGGGAAAGACCTTGACTAGGTTTTTCCATTTTAGCTCGATTCCAAACGTTGATTTTCCAAAAAGTGAAAATGTTGACTGTAATTGAAAGTTTTATTTCAGATTCAGATAAAAGTGTGTGCGGGTGTGCGTATGTGTGTTTGTGTGTGTGATATAATGTCAATTGCCACGCCTTCATTATGAGCTGAGCTCGATCAAATTTAGTGCAAGTGAAATTTATGCGTGTGAATGTTGAATTTTAACTAAAGCTAAGCGAACAAAGGCGGGGGAAAAAAAAAAACTAAAGAAACAATAAAGTCAAAATCAAAATCGAATCAAGCTAATTAACAGTTCATCGAAGTACTTCAATTGCTATTTGGTTTCTTCTTCCTCCCCGCCTCCTCGCCTCTCGCATTTCGTTTGCATTTGCATTTGAAATTTGCTTTCGCCTCCTCAAATACAGCAAATTGGCAGCACTCTGCGCGGCTCTGTGATTGGCCCAGTTTCTGTTTGCCTGCCATCGATGGGCTGCACTTTGTGATGTAACCGGGTCATAAAAGGCTTCGACATCGCCCAGGCCATCAAAATGGCCCACAAATATTGAGTGTATAATGTCGACTGTCTTTTTGCAGCGCGCCTGAAAGTGAAAACAACAACAATAAGAAATGCGGAACATGCTAAATGAAAACAAAAGTTGTTTCGTACGTGCAGAAACGTGCCAGCGCCACAGGTGGGCAGACAGTGGAGCAGACAGACCTGCCCACCGCCCACAATAAAAGGTACAGTGGTTATGAATCAGAGCTATGAAAGAGTGAGACTCTGGGTATTGGAAACGGATGGCATTAAGGCAAGGCAATGTGAGAGACACTCGAGCGGAACAGTTGGAAATGAAACACTACCTTAAGAATGGCCTAGTTTTAATTTGCTCTTTCAATTAATGAATTCAGCACATTTTGAAATGATGATATGATATGATATATTTACGGAATAAGTGGAAAAGGAACACATTATTAGAAAAGCTGTCCAAATGTTTTGTTGTTTATTATATATGTAGATGAAATGGATAGATCGTTTACTATGCTATTTACTATTGAAACGAAATGGTATTGGAACAGTGAGTAAGCACTATTAACAAGCAGTAGTAGTATCATTCAATAGCATGCTGAAACATTCAATTTGTCAAAGCTCAGTGCAAACACCTTGAGAAACAAATGGAATCGAAACAGAGCTTTAAATTCTAGCAAGTAATGAGAGTTAGTAGATGCTTATAGGATAATAATGCTATACAGATTGCTGTTAATATATAAATTACAGTAAATGCCAGCAAAGTGAAACAATTGGAAAAGGAACGGCGGTACATATTATGTAAACAAACAATAAAACAAAAGCAAATATATTTATTTACAGCTAATGTGTACTAATTTATTCAAGTGGAACAACTGGAAATGGAACAGAGTCACCTCTAATAGGGAAGAATGAATAGGGAAGAATTAATTACAAATATATTTTAGAACAGAATATGTGGACACTAAGGTATATGCGTATGTCAATCAATTGAGACAAATGGAAATGAAACACTGCTCAAATATTGAAACCGCTAATGGAAATAATATATGTGCTGTATGAAAATTTAATGAAAATTTCTATAGCAAGATATAAATGCCAATGTGATGTAATTTATTTTTGTATCCAGAGAAATTCAGTTGCGTTCCACTGTGCGGCATAGATAGCGGCGCTCGGCTCGGAGCGTGAAACGGTGTCTGCTCGGCGATAGCATAATGAGCCCCTGTCCAGCCAGGTGAAATGGACGCGTAAAAGTCATAAACTGCCCAATTGCCGCTGGCCATGCCGATGAGCAGCGTGTGGTGCGTGGTGCGTGGTGCGTGGTTTGTGGTGCAGTTGATGGTACTTGGTATGCAGATGTGGTGGCTCGATGGCTAGCTGCTGGCCATTGCACGTCGATATCCGCTTTATAAATACAACAAACACCAAGGAAGTTCATTTCATTTTCTTGGCAACAATCGACGCGTTGACATAATCCAACGCAAGCGCCAATACGGATTACCCCAAGCACAGTGGAACCCATAAACAGCTCCATAAATCTATCAGCGTGATGAGTCGCCGTTCGAGTGTGATTTGTGCCAGGAGCCGATCCGCGCACCTGCACCTGCTCTTGCTCTGCGCTGTGCTGGCCAGCGGCAGCATTGCCCAAGCAGCGCTGCGTCTGCGCCACTCCAGCCGCCTGGCCAGCACCACGCCCACCACCGTGGCCACCACCAGCAGCAGCAGCAACTCCAGCTCCAGCTCTAGCTCCAGCTCGACAGCTGAGGCTGATACCACGGAGCAGCAGCTGGAGGAGACGGCAGCTGTGGCCGAGGAGTCGCAGCCAGCCAAGCACAAGCGCGGCATACTCCATGGCGCTGCCGGCCACTGGCCCGGACGCACCTATGCGGCCCAGTATGGCTACAGCCTGCAGCTGCCCGCGGCGACGACCTTTCTAGCTGCAGCGCCTGCCCATCGCCATCATGGCTTCATCAAGTACCCCGCTGGCTTCCACATCAAGCAGTACGCCAATGCCCTGCCCGCTGGCTTGCTGCCCGGCGCCACAGCAGTCTCGCCTGTGCCCGCTGTGCCCGCCTTGCCCGCCGTGCCCGCCGTGCCCGCCCTGCCCGCTGTGGGTGCCCTTGCGCCTGCTGTGGGTGGCATTGCCTCAACCGTGGCTGGCGCACCCTCGTATGTGCTGCGTCCGGGCAACGCTGTCGTCTCCTCCTACAGCGTCAACTATCCCCATCAGCACCTGCACAGACCCCTGAAGCCCCTCCACTACCACCACACCCTCCAGGTAAGCTCGCCAGCTGCAAATGGCCTTTACCAGCTTTGATCTAATCGCTGCGAAGCCTTCCTATATACAGACCGTCGCACCTGTGCCCGCTGCTCCAGCAGTGCCCATACAGCCCGTCCAGGCCATACAGCCCATACAGCCCGTCCAGCCCGTTCAACCTGTTCAGCCCGTTCAGCCCGTTCAACCCGTTCAGCCTGTTCAGCCCATTCAGCCCTTCCATCCTGGCTTCACTTTTGCCACAGCCGAGTTTCCAGCTCCGCCCGTGCCCACATTCGTGCAGCAAGCCTTTCCCGCTGTTCCAGTTGCGCCCGCCGCCCCAGAAGTTCCAGTAATTCCACAAGCGCCACAAGTTCCACAAGTGCCACAAGTGCCACAAGTTCCACAAGTACCACAAATCCCGGATCTGCCGCAATTCCCACAGCTTCCGCAGCTCCCAGCGTTCCCGCAGTTCGGCAGCCCGCAGTTCCCCTTCCCGCAGATTCCACAATTCCCTCAGGCGCCTAGCACACCCGCTGTTCCAGCTGTGCCCGCCGTGCCCACCACGCCCGCCGCACCCGCCGCTCCCGCCACGCCCTCCATACCCACTGTGCCCGCCTTTCCCGGCGCGCCCGGCATTCCGCCCAACAGCCAGTTCTTCCCGGCTGCAGTGCAGCCACCGCTGCCACAGCAGCCGCCCAGCTTTGGCCAGCCGGAGGCGCAGTTTCCGGGCGGCATAACGCCGCTGCCCGGATCGACGCCCGTGCGGCCAGACACTGGCACGGCCATCGCCTCGCCCCAGATACCCAACACACCGGAGTCGGAGCAGCCAGAGCAGCCGCAGAACTCGCCACAGCCCGCACAGCCGCAGCCACAGCAGCCGCAGCAGCCCTGGAGGCCGGTGTTCTATCAGCCGCCAGCCACGCCCGGCCGCCCATCCATCACCCTGCTGCCGCCGTACGGCAGCATGCCAGCCGAGGGTGAGTCCTAGACGAATGCTCGGAGCTATCCGTTCTGTTTCTATATGCAACGCCTTTCTATGCACTTCTCAGGCTATCTGCCGCCCGTGGGCACGCAGGCCGCACAGCTGACCTCCGCCAGCGCCGGCCAGGGCGCCCAGGATGTCTTTGATCAGCTGAGCAGCGCCGAAATCGAGCACATCTTCGCCCAGGCGAATCTCGCGCATCACAACCACCAACAGCAGCAGCAGCAGCAGCAGCGCTATCAGCATTACTGACTGCGCTGCTGACGTCATCGATCAGCTGTTGGGCTTCATCTTGTCCACGAACTTTCTATAGAACTTTTTTTTTTTGTTTTTTTTTTCCCCCCCTCATCATCTATGATAATCTTTGCATATATCTACATATAATTAAATTATTATTAAATAAGTTATTTATCACAAGTTGAAACGCGTTTTAATTGCGAGTGGAGCAGGCAGTTCCTGGAGTCTTATCGCCTCTCTATGCGATTCTCAAGAAATTTATGTGGTCAGTGTCAGTGGTGTTATCATGGAGCTGGCATATTTCGTGGGTCATTCGGCGAGGGTCTACTGTAACTGACTTCTTTCTCTGTCTGTCTCTCTCTGATCTCTCTCTATTTCAATATTTTGTATCTCTCTCCCCCTCATTATAGCATTCTGTTTCACTCTCTTACCCACTCGCTCTTTCACGCTCAATCTTCCTCTTCCTTGAGAAATTAATAGCCAATGATTCTCTCAGTGTCTCTCTCTATCTCTCTGGTTATCTCTCTCATACTCTCATTACATGTTTCTGTCATCTCTCTCTCTCTCCATGTCTCCCTCTACTTTTTCTCTTTTACTCTCTATCTCTCTCTCTCTCTCTCTCTCGTGTCTCCCCCTATTTTTCTCTTTTACTCTCTCTCTCTCTCTCTCTAGTCATGTCTCCCTCACTTTTACTCTCTCTCTCTCTCGTCATCTTTCGCTCTATTTTGCTCTTTTACTCTCTCTCTCTCTCTCTCTCTCTCTGTGTGTCTCTCGTCATGTCTCTCTCTCTTTTTCTCTTATACTCTCTCTCTCTCTCTCTCTCTCTCTCTCTGTGTGTCTCTCGTCATGTCTCTCTCTCTCTCTTTTTCTCTTATACTCTCTCTCTCTCTCTTTCTTACTGTATCGGCCTCTCTCTAACTCATTATTGCGTATTTCTTCCTTTTTCTCATTATTTCACTCAGTGGCCCTGTCTCTCTTGTGTCTCTCTCCTCCTCTCTATCTTTCTTTCTATGTCGCAGGTTTAGTTTTATATATTTATCTCTCTCTCTCTCTCTCTCTCTCTCTCTCATTCTCCCGCTTTTTATATCTGTCTCTCTATCTCTCTGCTTTAGGCTGTCTCTTTATTTCGTCGCTCCCTTTAGTATCTATCTCGCTTGCTCCCTCTCTCTCTCTCTCTCTCTTTCTCTCTCTCTCTCTCTCTCTCTCTCTCTCACTCACTCTCCCACGCGACTAGTAATATACAATCAGTCAGCACTTCATTCTTCATCTCCATCTTCCACTTCAATTGAATGCCGTTACTTTCAGTTAGCTTTCGCAGCAGCCGGAACGCTTTCACCGCAGAGCTTTTCGCCTTGAACTTGAGGAATGCCGCTCGGAGCTTTTTTCATTCATAAACACATCAGCTGTTTGTTTGCTCATTGAAGGCTGCGGCTCGGCATCGCCCATCGGGTCATTGGGCAATCGGGGCATCGGGGCGTCGGAGCAACGGAACATCGGAGCATCGGACGCCGGCAATTGGCATGCCACATGTTGCAAGCGCTCGTGTGGCCTCAGTTATTACCGTTAGCTTCGCGAGCGCGCTGCCCACGGCGCGCACAAAACACAAACAGTTCGAAGCTTTTCGGCTCGAGTGCTCGAATACGAAACTCCGCGATTTTCGAAAATCAAAGTAAAATTTGAAAATTCGTAATCTCGAATATCTCAAAAAAAAAGTTTTGTTTTGTGTTTGCCGAAAATGCGATATCGAAACGTGGCAAATTTCGAAAATTGAAATTTACAGTTAAATGTTTGACAATTGAGGATCCAGAGAGTTCGAAAACTCTACAAACCGATCTAAGTTCGGCTCGAGTGAAAAGTGAATAAACTCGTCGCGTGCTATTTGCTGTTGTTGTTGTTGTTGTTTTTTCTGATTTTTTTTTTTCTGTGCATTGTTTTCATAGATCTGTGCCGTTTGTTTATTGCTATATTCGCATCGGTTTGAGATTTTCGAAAACGAAATCGAGTTCCAAGTAGTCGCCGCAGCTGTCATGACGATAATGATGATGCGTAAGTCTTGCACAAATAAACAATTCCGATCGGGACTGTTTATGCATTGGGAGCACATTCGTATGATTCGACTCGATTATTTTATATACTCGCTATGTTGGCAGCATTCGTCGATCAATAAAAACAATATCTGCCACAGACATTGGCCATGTGGACCTGTTGAAGAATGGGAAGAAGAAGAGGAAGGGAGAGCAGCAGTGGCAGCAGCTGGCATCTAAATAGCTCGATGATTAGTCGCACGTGGTCGAAGCGAATCGATAGAGGAAGAGTTAATCGGGAGGAATACCAGAAAGGGAATAGATAAGCGAGTTAGAGGAGCTAGAGAATAGATAAAGCGTTGCATCAGTATTGGAGGAGGGAAAAGCTGGGAACAATCTCTAGAAATGTATTATGTTAAAACGGGGAACAGTTGAATACATAATGTTAACATGAAAAGGAGTTCCCCAGTAATGTCAAGATATATAAAGAGTGATCGGTTGAAAGGCTGAAAATAGTTTCGTACACACGTGAAAACTCAGAGTAGCATAGAAAAAAAAAACTTCATCAAAAAATAATGGAATTTGCAATGGAGATAGAGTAAGACATAGATTTAGTTGGACAGCTATTAAAATTGTCTTTCTGAAAGCAGATTAAACAAAGGAATTAAGGAAGGTAACTGCAAATAATACGTCTGAGAGCAAGGAAAGAAAGGTGCAAAGAGTGCACAGGACAATGGAAAAAAAAACAATGTATATATGTATTCATATTTGCTGTATGTATGTATGTGTGTAGAAAGAAAGTTCCATGAAGAGATGCACATTTATTCATTGGAAAAGTGAAACTGAATACTAGGAACTAATAATATGAATTAATTTGGCGAAGACCTCTATGAACAATCCAATTATGCTCAACTGTTCAATTATTCATTAAAGATTTGTTCAAACAACAAGAGTTTTTCTTTGGAAATGGCAAATTTCAGTTCCACCAATCATCCATCATCCATCTTCATGCATTCATATTTCAGTCACTTCAAATTTCATATAAAGATTTGTTTTCGAAATTGTGACCTAATTTATAGTGGGACTACCTGAATATCTATTTATAATCAAGTTTATTTTGGGAACAACTTTTTATTTGGCAATCGAACCTGATTGGGGTTTGTTTGTATAATTGCCTTGATATAAATAGAGTATTGTAGCTCATTGTGTATTTATGCATACATAGATATACGTATATATCTTAATCGATTTGACTCAATATGACTTGCTAGGTATTATTAAATAAACTTTAAGCTGTGCCTATTACTCTAGGAATATGTTTTATAGGGTATTCAAAGACAGATGATAAACTTTATAGAAGAATTCAGGAATGTTCTTTTATACACTCGTTGTCTATTTTACAGGGTATTCAGAGTTACAATAGGCTTTACAATATTCTTCCTAATAGAAAGAATGATTGTACATCTAAAATTCTTTTAAGCTTATGCAATCCATCTATCTATCTGTCTACAAGGCATTCACATGTCTAATAGACCTTTACCCTTTACAGGGTATTCAAAGACAGATGATAAACTTCATGGAAGAATTCAGGAATGCTCTTTTATACACTCGTAGTCTATTTTACAGGGTATTCAGAGTTACAATAGGCTTTACAATATTCTTCCCAATAGAAGGAATGATTGTAAATCTAAAATTCATCTATCTATCTGTCTACAAGGCATTCACATGTCTAATAGACCTTTACCGTTTACAGGGTATTCATAGCATGTGCCAATGACCCTCGGAACAGGTATCACAGGCGCAAACAGTTTCAATGCCTTTGTCCATTGGTTGCAATGAAATTCTCAATTTGCATATTAATTTATGTTGATGAGCAACTGGAGCTGGAAGTGTTGCGGGTACTATAGGGTATGGACCATGTTGCTGATAGCCGTAGTGTTTTCCACTCGAGAACTCTATTAAATTTGTAATAAAATGTCATTAAGCGCAAATGCGAGATGTCGCTTAGATTTATGGTACGGGTCAGGGTAGAGGCCAAATGAAAGCCTTAAAGTGTACCACAGAGTGTGTATGTATGTATGTGTGTGTATGTGTGTGTGTGTGTGTGTGTGTGTGTGTGTGTGTGTGTGTGTG